GTCCTTTTCCCCTCCGGGTCTTAAGTCCAGCAACCCAACCGTCACCCCTCCCACAGTTTCTGTCCTTAGTCAGTGCATCCCCAGAGTTCAGAAGTTCATCTGCAGAGTTTACCTCCCAGCCTGAGTGGAAGTGGGGGGAGGTATGGAGGGGGCACCTTACGTGCTCTGCTGCTCGGGTCGACGGCTGACGGCCACGCCTCTCTGTGGGGTTCTGCTGCAGTCTTCACCACCAGCCACGCCTCTCCGCTAGCTGCTTCTTTGCACCAGCCATCCATCCTGCTAGCCACTCACCAACATGTCTTCAGGCCCACCCCCCCCCCACACACACTTAACACAGCTCTCAGTGATTTCACCTCTTAGTAACTTCAGCTCTTTAGTGATTTCAGCTGTTAGTAGGGGGGCTTCAGTGCTGGCACACTCAGGGCTTGTCCACACTTACATTTTATAGCACTCTAACTATAAAAATCACCCCCCTGAGCACAGCAAGTCTGAGCGCTTTAAGGTGCTAGTGTAGACAGGCTCCGAGCACTGGGAGCCTCACTCCCAGCTAATCCCCTTATGGAGGTGGATGACCAGGAGAGCTCTCTCCCAGTGCTTGCACGCAACCACACTCACACTTCAAAGCACTACCAGAGAAGCGTTCCCGGAGCAGCACTTTGATGTTTCCAGTGGTTTTTTTCAATAACACAAGCCAAAACCAGCTTGCGCACCCACAAAAATTAGCTCTATTATTACACAATGGAGAGAGACAAGTCAAAATTGTGTTTAGGCCCCTCAGTGGGGACCCACACTACCAGTTACACAGGCCCATCACCAGCCTTTTTCAGCTCACTGGGCTTTGGAACCCATGTCCCTTATGTAGCAAGAGTTACTTAGTTGAGGGCGAAATACAGCTCTACTGTCCTTGATTCACATAACCAGGATAACACTTTATTACTCCTGCCCCAATAACAAAGAGACTGGGGATCCCACAGCAGCCAAAGTGACTATTTGGGCAAGCCGTCCATCATGCTAGGCAGGGTGGGTGTGCCAGTGCAAACGAGATCAGCCCCGGAAGTCCTTTTCCACAGCTCACCACCAGATGTCAGGAGAGAGCTCATTCTGACTCTACTTATTGCATTAAGAAAAGATACCGTAGCCCAGGAAAGCAACAGGCATTGCAAGTCAGTGCATCATACTCAGCAAACACAGATGCCTACTAGCATTGAAACCTCTGCACTTCACTCCCGTGCCGGGCACCAAACATTACTGATGGCTTTCAGCCTCAAATTGCTCCCTCAAGGCATCCCTAATCCTTACAGCCCCGCGCTGGGCCCCTCTAATAGCCCTGCTCTCTGGCTGTTCAAATTCAGCCTCCAGGTGTTGAACCTCCGCGGTCCATGCCTGAGTGAAGCTTTCACCCTTCCCTTCACAAATGTTATGGAGGGTACAGCACGTGGCTATAACCGTGAGGATGTTGTCATCGGCCAGGTCCAGCTTCCTATACAGACAGCGTCAGCGGCCCATTAAAAGGCCAAAAGCACACTCAACAGTCGTTCTGCACCGACTCAGTCTGTTGTTGAACCGCTCCTTGCTGCTGTCTAGGCTCCCTGTGTAGGGTTTCATGAACCATGGCATGAAAGGGTAAGCCGGGTCTCCAAGGATCACAATGGGCATTTTGACTTTCCCTACGGTGATCTTCTGGTCTGGGAAGAAAGTCCCAGCTTGCAGCTTCCTGAACAGGCCTGTGATCCGAAAGATGCGTGTGTCTTACAAAGGTTATAACTGACTGAATATATTCCTCCTACTTGTATGCATGTATCATTCTTGTATCTGAAGCTAGAAATATGAAGTATAACTCTGAGGTCCTATTGTAATGGGCCGTTAATGGTGGTTTAGAATCTTGATGGCTTCCATTGACTAGGACAATTGGTTGTAGATGGTTTATTTACTGCAAGCCTTCCTGTGTACGTATGGGCCAGCCCCTGGGTAATGAAGAATGAGGTCTTACAGGACATTTGACCATGTCACATGATACTGGAATCCATCTTAAAGCTGGTGCTTTTCCATTTAGAAGGAGGGGTGGGGACCCAGTGAGACAAAAGATTCCCACCTTGTGCCAAAGCTATAAAAGGGGATGGAACCGGACAAAGAAGGCCAGTCATGAGAACAGCCCTGCTTACCACTTAAGGCTGCTAGTCATGAGAAAGCCCCTGTTTCCACCTAAGATGTGTGCTGGAACTAACAAGGACTGCACAAGGGAAAAGGACTGGACCCAGACTAGGAAGGAGTCTAGTCTGTGAAAGAAGCTTATTGGAACATCTCTGAGGGTGAGATATTACCTATAATCAGTTTCTTAATGTATTAGGCTTAGACTTGCATGTTTTCCCTTTAATTTGCTTGGTGACTTACTTAGTTCTGCCTGTTGTTACTTGAAATACTTAAATCCTATTTTTTTCATACTTAATAAAATCACTTTTGTTTATTAATGAACCCAGAGTAAGTGATTAATACCTGGGGGAGCAAACAGCTGTGCATCTCTCTCTATCAGTGTTATAGAGGACAGACAATTTATGAGTTTACCTTGTATAAGCTTTATACAGAGTAAAATGGATTTATTTGGGGTTTGGATTGAATTGGGAGCTGGGTTTCTGGGTGCTGGAGATAGGAAACCTGCTGAGCAATTTTTGGTGAAAGTCTGCAGCTTTGGTGGCGTGGTTCAGACCTGGGTCTGGGTTGCAGCAGGCTAGCGTGTCTGGTTCTACAATGCAGGGTTCTAGAGTCCCAAGTTGGCAAGGAAAACACTGGATATAAGGAGGGACTCAGATTACGGGGGGTTCTTGTTCTGAGCTAACAGCTGTTATGAACTTGTGACCACAGACAAACCTCTGGGTGTGCCTTGAAGACCTTCCCAAGCCCTGGTTGGGGTTCGGGTCATCTCTGGGTAGCTTATTTGCATGCGTGTAGGTTCTTGTGTTGTTCTCAATACGTTTTCTGTGTAACGCTTTCACCTTAACAATAAATGTACTTGCTGGGTGGTGACTTACCTGTGGGCACTGACGCTGGTTATAGCCTCTGAGGAGAAGGCAACGCAGGCCTGCAGAGACCGTCTGACCTGCTGGTGAATTCACAGTGTAGGCAGGGAATTGTGCAGCCTGGCAATACCCAGGAGGAAACAAGACACAGGTATGTGTTCAGGAGAGGTGACGGCTGAGGAGCTGGGAGCCTCGAATGGAAGCCCTTGCTGGACCATATGGGGGAAATACAGGGGCAGTTGCCCTGACCTGGGACACCAAGCAGAGCCCTGTGAGCTCAGTGTGACCCAGGGAAAAGCCAGAGAGCGCTCTTGGATCCGTTGGCTAAAGCAGCTGGGGGCTAGAAGCTGAGAAGCAGCTCCTTAGGCCTCGGCTACACTTGCAAGTTAGAGCACATTAAATCAGCCCCGGGCGCCATAACTCCTGAGGCGTCCACACTGGCAAGGCACGTACAGCGCCCGGATCCTGCGGCTGGAGCACCCCTGGTAGTCCACCTGCATGAGAGGCATAGAGTTTGCTGCACCCTGGCAGGAGTGCCTCAGCACCAGTGTGGACGTCCTGGTCTGTTAATGCGCTCGGATGGGCCTCCAGAAGTGTCCCACAATGCCTGTTCTAGCCACTCTGGTCATCACTTTGAACTCTACTGCCCTGCCCTCAGGTGACCAACTGTCAGACCCACCCTTTAAATTCTCTGGGAATTTTGAAATTCCCCTTCCTGTTTGCTCAGCAAGGCATGGAGTGCTCTCAGCGCATCTTTCCAAGTGACCATGCCTCCACACGGGTTCTGGAGTTCCCAGCTGGCAGGGAAAACGAGCTCAGAGGTAATTTCAGCACATCAGGTGACAGTCCCAAGGGGATGCCTGTGACCGAACCCGTCACAGAGGGTTTTGCTGAGTAGTGTGTGTGTGTGTGTGTCCATCCGTCTGTCCTACTGCCCCCTGCTGGAGAGATGAGCCCTGCCTGTGTGTGTGTGTCCATCCTCTCTATCCTCTGAGTGCCAATAGCTGAGGGTGGCAAAAATCTAGTCTAATAATGTCAGGGTGGAGACTGAAAGCCAGGACATCTGGGTTCTGTCCTCAGCTCTGAGAGGGGAGTGGGATCTAGTGGGTTAGAGGAGGGGGGATCAGGGAACGAGGACTCCTGGGTTCCATCCCCAGCTCTAGGTGGGCAATAACAGGCAGTGGTTCAGGGACATCCGCTCACCCCAAGGTGGGTGCGAGGTGCCCTTCCAGCAACGGGGGACGTGCTCTGCCCCATGCCTGGCTGCCCTGTGTCACTTCCTTCTTGCGCCATCTCCGCCGCACATCCCTTCCAAGAAGAGTGAGAGGTTGATGTGGGCATCTGGGGCCAGCTCCCCCAACAGGGGCGGGTCCATGGCCTCCCAGGGGGTGGCCCTGGCACCGGGGGCTGGCACCCTAAGGGAGACACACCCAGGCTGGGGCCCCTTTCTCCTCTTTCCCACCGTCCCCGTCTTTCCTTCCCTCCTTTCTCTTTCTGCTCCCTGGTTTTCTCTCTCCCTCCCTCCCCCACCTCCCTCTGTCCCTGCCCAACCCCGTGGATATAACTCATCCCTTCCCTGTAATTCCACCCCCGGCCACACTGGGCTGGGCTGGGCAGGGCTGGGCTGGGCTGAGCTGGGCGGTGACCCCGTGTATATAAGGAGCTGTGAGGAGCCTTCACCCCTGCAGTGTGACCTTCCTCCACCAGACACAGCACAGGTGAGAGCTACTCGCTGCTGAGCATCCCTAGGGGCCCGTCCCCTCTAGGGGCACCAGCTCCCGGGGTGGGAAATGGGGCACATGGCCTGTCTCCCCCCGGGGCGCTAATAGCCCTAGGTGTGGGAAATGGAGCATGGGGCCCGTCCCCTGTAGGGCACAGGCTCTGATCTGGCCCCAGAGTGGGGCCTGGCTGGCTCAGGGCAGGGGAGTTGAATCCAGTCTCTCCAATCCCTCCTCCAGGTTGCTCTCAGCAGGTGACATCGGAGACATGAATCTCGCGTGGGTCCCGCACCTCATTGTCCTGGGGATGCTGCTGGGAGTCCGCTACACCAGTACCGATACGGCAGGTAACACTGCTCCCCAGCCCGCCCCTGATCCTGCTCTAAAGTGACCGTCCCTGCTGGGGCCAAGCCCAGGGGAGGGGGCAGCAGGATGTGGTGATTTATTGGCCATCTCCCGGCTCTGACCTCCTTCCCCACCTCTCTCTCTCCTGCAGGTTCCTGGTGTTACAAAGACCAACAATGCGGTAAGAGAATCCATCCATCCCCTGCGACACAGACATCCACTCTCTGACCTCACCCAATGCCGGAGTTAATTACTGTTTTCTCACATTTGGATGGGTGGGGAAACTGAGGCACAGAGAAGGGCAGTGTCAGCGTTCCAGAGCCAGGGATAGAACCCAGGAATCCTCACTCCCAGCCCCACCCCCCTGCTCTAAACCACAAGACTCCAACCCCCTCCCAGAGCTGTAT